CTCAACGACTCTCTAAAACAGGGGTGTCAAACTCGCAACATCACGTGACATGTCGTGACTTTTTTCCATTGTCGGCAATGGGGTGGGCGCGGTTTCGCCATCATGCATCCGGCCCGTTAGCCGGCAGTTTGACATCCCTGCTCTAAAAGAAGGCAAATGACCAGCTGTCTGCAATGAATATAAAATCCTTCCATTCCCCACCATCGAGTCAGAGCTGAAGAAGCTTCTTGGATGAGAAGTGAAATCTCTTCAAAGAAAAACAAGAAAGTCTGATTGTCTCCTGAAAAAGCACCTTTGGGAGTCTCTTAGTTCAAAACAAAAGCAGTCTGGGGAGAGAAGGAACAAAAAAAAAATCCTCTAATCAGGCTGCTGATTTGCTCTGGGATTTGCACTTCACTCTAGGACGGTCTTAGCAAACCCATAGTGGACAGTTGTAGCAATAGGATGGAAAATTCAAAGCAGTTTAAACTATTATGAGTGTTTGAAGTGTCTTTCTCAAAGAGCTACGTCTTAGAAAAATATAATAAGCCAGAATTGAGAAGATAGCAACAGAAACAAAATAACCACTTCTGCAAAGAAGCTGAAGAAACAGTGGACCACCTGTTTAGCTGCTGCAAGATGTTTGCACCAACTGACTACAAACAATGGCATGACAAAATAGCAGCAATGGTGCACTGGAAAATCTGCAAGAAAGACCATTGACTATAAGAAAGACAGGACCATAAAACAGAGAAATAGAAAGTAACACCCACATAACACCAAAGTAACACGCCACATAACACCCCAGACTTAACAATGGTTGATAAGAAACTCAAAAACATCTGGATAGTAGATGTTGCTGTGCCTGCAGACAGCAGTCTAGAAAATAAAGAAGTGGAGAAAAACACAAAATACAAAGTCCTGCAAATAGAAGTAGAATGAATGTGGCAAAGAAAGCAAAGATAGTACCAATAGTAACAGGCGCCTTGGGAGCTATCCCAAAATCTCTTGAGTGCCACCTGCACACCATTGGCATTGACAAAAACACCATTAGTTAATTACAAAAGGCAGCCTTATTTGGAACAGCTTACATTCTGCAATGATACCTTTAACAACAACACATCAAACAACATCTCTCCATCCCAGGTCCTCGGGCAGGATAGTTGGATAAAAATGCCAAATCCAAATCTAACATCTGGTTGAATGTGCAACCGACCATAATAATCATCTTAGATGCCACTCCTAATGACTCTGTAGTGAATACAGAATGCTGAATGCAACGTACTAAATTCTAAAGTGAAATGATATGACTTAATGTATTCCAAGATACTGCTGTGGATCAAACAGGAAACCTGTTTCCTGTCAAATGACCAATCCCAATATTTGTATTTAACAAGTAGTGTGAATCCTATATAACTAGGATAATAAACCATGTTTTTCTTAGTCTAGCATATCAATAAACCATAGTTGAAATTTGGTTTAGTACATCACAGACCTAGTTTTGGAGTCCATATTACTCAGTCTTCATATATGCTCTTTGTGGACTAAACCCACTTTAATTTTCAACTGATGTGTGTTGTGTTCTTCTGAGGTCTACTTTGGTCCATTATTCTACTCATAAAGTTAACATTTGTATATAAAAAGGGGGCAATTCTGATAGTTCTGTCTTAACTTTTAAAACAAATTAAGATTGAGCACTATAAAATTTTATCTTGCTCAGCTCAGAGACCAACACTATATTCTCATATATTCTATATGGTTTTAAAAGATTCTGGAAACTCTATCCAAGCTCTCCTTTCCTTGTTATATCCCAGCAGCCCTGTTCTGCAGGGGCCCTGTTTCATTGAGTTTAAATCATCAGGATTTATTTTGACTACATAAATATATTATCATCTGATCTTCAGCAAAGGTAAAGATAACTCAGGAAGTTTTATTAAATTCTTACCCTGAAAAGAGACAATTTTCATAAATCAAGTCCAATGTGTAATCAAAAGACATGGAACAATAAATATTTCAAAAGCAGCTGTCCTTATTTGATGGATGGATGAGGGGAGTTCCTAGGGCCAAGATGCTAATAATTATTGCATAAAAACCTATGTTACAGGATGTTCACAAATGTTGAGCTCATATAATTCATATTAATTTTAATATTTATGAAGCTTTTTTCAATCTAACGACTCTAAAATCTTCTGTCAGTCTAAAAAGCAAAGAGTAGCTTATTATGATTTCAAAACACAAAATCAAATCAGGTGTGATCTAACCAACAATCATACAGATGATCAGCTAAGCATCTTGAATTCATTTCACCTAAACGTGGGGTTATACCTCTCACTGTTTCCTCTTTATGTCTATCTTGGACAGCCAATTTAGCCCACAAGGGCATTTATCATATATTCTGACTCGGGGCTATAAGCAAATAGCACTTCTACCATCCTGTACTGTATTTCTGCTTGCTCCCATAAATACACCCTGGCTTGCATTCAAGTTTTACTTGCAGTACAGTTAGGCTGTACAACATCCTTTCTTAAAATGAGGTTAGGGAGAGGAACATCTAGAAATCAACTATGTATATCTTCTTTCATAGGGTGGACATGGAAGCAGCATGTCTTCTTCTTCTTCTTCTTCTTCTTCTTCTCCTCCTCCTCCTCCTCCTCCTCCTCCTCCTCTCCTTCGCCTTCTCCTCCTCCTTCTCCTTCTTCTCCCTTCTCCTTTCTCCCTTCTCCACCACCAGCACCACCACATTTTAAGGGCTATAATAAATATAAATTTCTTAAGGCTCCAATTTGTTCCTTTCTGTTGTTTTGGAATTCAACAACTATTCTCAATATTCATGACCTCAATTTCTCTACTTTCCCACACATATGGACAGTGTTGATCCTCCAATTGCAATCAGACTGCAACATCCATCATGGTAGTTGGCCCTGGGGCAAGGGAGGTTTGGAGGTCAATAACACTTGAAGAGCCTCATGTTAACCAATCTCTATTGTAACATGCGAAAAATACTCTATTGTCTTAATATAGCTTAGTAATCAAGAACCAGAGTTAAATTTTGTTTTTGTGATGAACCTAGCAGGTAATGGAGGCCCAGGTTATGAATAGTTTCCTCCAGTCTTAAAGGTATGATTCTTCAAATGCCAGTGGCTAGGATACACAAATGAAAGGACGCTTTTGCACTCGAGCTACTAGCTTCCCAAGGATGGGGAATAGTGGGTCCTGTGGGAACAAAATGTGTGCTTACAAACGCCTTTGATCTGATCCAGATGAACCTTTTCCTAATTTTAAATGCAGTTATGCAAACTTTTTACATCTTAGCCCAATCTCCACCCCACATCTGCAATATGGGAACAGCACTGACTTATCTGTCAAAGTTGTTGTAAGGATTAGAGAAGTAAGGTGTGTAAACACACATAATAGTGCTGTACAAAAGCAAAATGTTGAATGAAAAGACCTATTCATTGGGTAATTTCTTCCCTTACAAAACAACCTGAGTTGTAGAGAGATCACTGAATGAGTGATATAAACATAAGTCCCAATGGAACATTTATTGCCACTCTGTCATTGGAGCTAACTTCAGACTACACTTTAATAACATTTCCCTAATATGGATTTTAATTTCAGGCATGTCCACAGACATAATAGGAGAATCAAAATAACACCAGTCTCAAATTTCTAACAGTAAAAAGCAGAAGAAAAGATGCTGAATTGGAGAACAGCTAATATTCAGCAAAAGACCTGCAAAGCTGCTGAATATCATAATGATTGCATTAATATTTTTATTGAAGTGTATTACTAATCAGAATATAATGAAATGACTAGATGGCCTTTCCATCTAACATCCAGCAGTTAAAGTTTCAGTGATTTGCTGATGTCAACTGCCAACTATGAAAACAGATCTATGCAAAAGAGGAAAATGGTATTTTGCTCCAAGTTCCAGACACAACACTTCCTATTTTCTTTAGAGTTACACTCCCAAACATACATTTCTAGACCTTTATTTTGCTCACCTGCATTCTTTTATATTCTGCCTTTCCATTAATCAAGGTTCCCTAAATGAAATCATCAATAAAATAGCAGTATAACATAGCAGAAGGTCACCATAGCCACAAGCAGCTGTCTGAGGATGATATTGTGAAGTCTGAGAAGGGAGAGAGAGCCTGGCTATTGCCAACAGAGGTGCGGTGTGCTCCAGGTTACTTTTTAACAGAATAATAGAACTGGAAAAGACCGTGTCTTCTAGTCCAACCCCCTGCTCAAGCAAGAAACGGTTGTATTCTGAGTTCACCAACAGAAGAATAGCAAAAATATTTTAAAATAACCATACCAGAATTCTGCTAGAAACTACCACACGTTTATGTTCTTTTGAAGACCTGAGATGTGCTCCTAGTACTAACATATCTTCCCAGATTTTTAGGACGTGAATCTTACTCCTGTCAGCATTCATGAAAACAAAAGTTTATTTTGTATACTTTTCATAGAAGAGCAAGCCAAAATACTGTTTATTCAAACTGAGACTTAAAAAAAAAAAAGTCCCCAACCAAACTGAACATTATCTGCTCACAGATATAAATTACTTTCCCTGCACTACATCTGTATTTAATCACAATGCTGCTGCTTAATGAGAAAATGGTTCATTTTAGGCTTTTATATGCAAGATCCTAAGGTTTCCTCCTCAGCGATTACATTTAGCAACTCCCTCTCGCTGACTAGAAGCATAGGCAGTTTTTCAATAATAAAAACTGGATTAGCATGTATCAGGAAGCGACACCACCAGCTGTCACTTTGAAATCAGACCACTCTACCCTGTGCTGGGGATGGGGATGGATAAACCAATAAACGATGAGCCATTTTCCTGTATTTATCTCCTAAGTGACTGAAACAAGCAAGCGTCTTCTTTTATAATAAAGCTCAATAAGAATAGGCTCAAGCATCAGACAGAAGTATCTTCCAAGTAAGCCTTCCACAACAATATTGGCAGAAGAAAACCAAGCTTGACAAACAGCGTTCTCCTTTTTATTTCTCACCTGTTTGTGCCTTCTGTTTCCATGATGCTCAGGCTTCCTCTTTCTTAATTTTAATAGAGAGCTCTCCCAGGAGGCAAAAAAAAAAGTATTGGTTTAATTTGATCACATTTCAAGTCCTCTGAAAAATAGCAAACTTCTATCTTATTTTAGTCACTTAATTGTTAACTCTTTTTGGCACTCGCAAATCTTGAGTGGATTTACTGTAGTTGGCAGTGAAAACTCTGCTTCTGCACAAGCTGTCATCAAACCAAATGTAAATTTCCACAAAAGACCTTCTTTGGTTTTAAATTGTTGAATGGACAAAGACTTGGTTCTAATCCATTCTTTACTAGAGGCAAAGCTCTGGTTGACTGTTCTGATGGAAAGGCGAAACAAATATAGAGCCATGGTCAGCAGCAGAACCAGGCCACACTAGTCTCTATTGATCTTTGTTTGGGAGGAGGAGGAGAGCTTTGTCTGGCATTGTGTATTCCTTCAAAATGCAGTAGAGAGTTTGAGAACTCACTTCTTAACTGGGCCCCATAATTCTGTCCCAAAGTCTGGTCAACTCAACAACTCAACTCAGCAACAAGATTAAACATCTAGTCATCCGATTAATAAAATGTAAATTATTTATACTGAATAATGAAAATCCTATCGTTAACACAAATGCAAAGTCTGCACAAATTATATTATACATTTCTTTTCCTGCTCTTGCTATCCAAGTAGCTGTAAATGGAACTTTAATTTTGCAAAAGACACACTCATACCCTAAGGCTACTTTCAAAGAAGCTTATGAACATCTCAACATTGTAAACTACTGAAAGGCAAGATCATGATGAAAAGAAGAAACTGAAATACCTCAGTTGGGAGCGTGTTAGACCGAAGATCTAAATGTCCCTGGTTTGATCCCAGGTTTTGGCAGGGGATGATTTGTTTTATCAATTAACCAATGGAACAACCCGCCTCCAGAAGCGGTGAATGTTCCAACACTGGAAGTTTTTAAGAAGAGACTGGACAGCCATTTGTCTGAAATGGTGTAGGGTTCCTGCCTGAGCAGGGGGTTGGACTCGATGACCTCCAAGGTCCCTTCCAACTTTATTATTATTATTATTATTATTATTATTATTATTATTATTATTATTATTATTATTATTATTAAAAAAGGAAACAATTTACTGTCCTATTAATTTACATTTTCAAAGTTTTAGGTCTTATTTGTCATTGCTAGTTTGACTGCATTTAAAATTTTAGTCTTATTTTTTTTTTTATTCTTATTTTAAATTTATCCTATTTTTATTCTTTTTAAAATTTAAACTGCCTAAAGAACCTTTATTAATTGAATAGCCTATAAAAGTGGCAAATAATAAATAAACGAATAACATTTCTTAGCATTTAGAATAGAATAGAGCTGGAAGGGACCTTGGAGGTCTTCTAGTCCAGCCCTCCACTTAGACAAGTGACTGTCCAGTCTTTTCTTAAAAACCTCCAGTGATGGAGTGCCCATGATTTACCTTGTCCTCTAATGAGTACAGGTAGTCTTGGGTTAGTGATATTTTTCTCCCCCCTTCTAGCACAAACAACAACAAAAAAGATGAGAGGAAAAAAAATAGAATAGAATAAGATCATGAAGCAGCTGCACCAGGAAGAAGAGGAATGGGAAAGAGGAAACAAAATTGGACAGGAATAAAGAGAGGAAAAGAAGAAAGAACAGAAATGAGTAGGAGCACTTTACCAAAATTTATAAAAAGGGTTAAATTCATCAGGGAAGCAGACCCTCCCATGTTTATGAAATAGTATGTGGCAATGGTCTTGGAGACTGAGAAGAGTCCTAGCCAGGTTAGCCTTCAGCAGGAATGTGGGAATGGCAAATGCCTCAGAAGCAGTGGTGGGATTCAGCCGGTTCGCACCACTTTGGCAGAACCGATAGTTAATTTTTTGTTGCCCAGGCCCAGAATGGACTTCCAGAAGTGGCATCCACACAGAAAATCGGTTGTTCACATATTTGAATCCCATCACTCCTCAGAAGGGACCCTCCCTAGTTTCTCAGGCCGTAAAAAGTGAGAGGAAGAAATATACTTCTAGACTTGCAAGATAATGTAATCTTACAATAAAGTATAATTAGTTCATCTGGGTGTGCTTCTTCCCTGGACCACCTTGCAAAGCTGGTGTTTTCAAAGAAATCCTTGTTTCGCAACAACAGTATCTACAGTCATTTGACTCTCCACCTAGTGTTTGCTTTAAATGTTTCTTTCATTCTTCTCAGTTAATGTAAGATGCCTACCCACATCTAATCCACAGGTTAATTATCTGAGAGGAAAAGATCACCTTTTCATCAAGTCACAGAAGAGAGGATTATCGTATTGCTTAGTTTCTCAATATACATTATGTGCTAAAGCTGAAGCTGCTTTTCAACTATTTTCAGATTTTTGAAACACTGTACTGTAGCCTTTCCAATTTAGAGCACTGAAAACCTGTTGGCCCGTAATTCATGTTCTCTGGGTGTTACACTCATCTCAAGCTGTATTTTATCTTTGGTGATAAAAAATAAATAAATATGTTAAAAAATAATTTAAAAAATAAACAAGCATAGAATTCAAATGATTTCAGAAAGGAAAGTCTTATTTCACCCAAAGAAAATTATTATGATTCCTCCTCAAAATTAAGGAAAAAGAATAAAATCTTATCTGTCTCCATTACGGTAGACCAGCGGCTCCCAACTTTTTCTATACCCTGCAACTCTAGAACACTTCTGATATATTCTTGCACCCCTTGCAAAAGTTCAAAACAATGAATTATGCATATACACTATAATTTAGAAACTTCTAAACCCAGGTTTTCGCACCCCCTGGAATATCGTCTTGCACCCCTGGTTGGGAACCCCTGATCTAGAACATGCAAAAGATAAATTGAAGGGGAAAAACCCTAGCCTTCTTATAGGATGTTATGCACCACATAGGTAATACAACAATAAGAAGTTCCAGTACCATTGTTATGCACAAGTAGTATGCATTTGTACCACTTTGCTTAGGATGTTGTACTTGATATGAAGGACTAAACAGTGCATAACACTATGATACGATAATGCTCACCAATGCTCATAATGATACAAGTCTAGAAACAGAGTGAAAATAAAACTGTGAAGAAAGAGCAAATTTTGGACTTTTAGTTTTATATTTATTTATTTTTCAAGATTTATCAGCTGCTTAATTCAAAGCCAACTGTGAATAGCATTCAATTCTATTGCTCATAATTCAGTTACTATATACTATTAATATGTAGGATAAGGGAAGTAAGAATTATAAAACTAGAAAAGGCCATACAGTATTCTCACTATTTTATATTGACTGACATTTGCCTTGGTATGATTATTTTAAATTCCTTAAAAAAAAACTCCTAATGTCCTTATGCAGGATATTAGTCTGCTCACAGAGTAGCAAAAATTATAGAGGACATGGGCTTTCCACTCAGTCCCTATATCTGTTTTCTTCTAGGTTGAAGGAGCTTGTACACATTTGGAGGCCAATGGGAATTCTGAAAATATACTATACTAGGCTCTCACAAAATTGCTATCATAGTCTTGTCCATTCCCCAAATGGCTATTTGGTGGGCATGGCCATTTAGAAGCTAAACAGATGAGGTTGCTTTTCATTAACTCTCCCCTTGTTACCTTCTGGGAGGAGGCTTTGTGGTATCCGTAGCAGAACATCCAGATTCAGCCACAGTTTCATTCCATACAGCTGTCATGTGTCTGATTAACGAAACACTTCAAAGAACTTTCAGGCATTTTTTTAACCTAAAAAGCCTTTATTAGTATTACAGAGATGTCAGCATAGCATGGTGGATGCTAAGATCTGAATTTCCCTTCCTTTGCACATAACATTCCAGGCATTTCCCCTCCCCTATTTTGGGGTTATGATTCACATCTTCCAATTAACTTGGAGGGCAAAGATTTACTTCCGTTTCTTTTTCCTGGGCTTTCCTTATATTCTCCTCCCCTTTCACTGTCACCTGATTTAACTCTAAAAATACCAGATAGTTCTGTATATATTGTCAAAGCAATAATATTCAATATTAGCAGCATTGACAACATCATTAACCTTGTGAACTCTCAAGCTTCCTCCTTCCATTATATATTCAAGATGGACAGTATTTAATATTTATTTGTTTTGTATATGTAGGGGTGTGGGTCTATACATATGTTGTACATAGTATGTTTAGGTGTGTGTCATGAATGTGTTTCACTTTGAGAGCGGGCAACTAAATTTCATTTTTGGTATGTGCCGTTGTGACCACAGTTAAAAAAAAATGACAATAAACGTTATCTTATCTTATCTTTCCTAGATTCTCCCTGTTATTCCAGCTTATTTTTGCCTTTGGAGGGGCCAACTCTCTGTACCACCCACTAGAGATGATGGTCATGATCATATGACTGTGTCATTCAGAAGAGGCAAGACTTTCATAGTTGATGACTTTATTACTCCTTCACACACCACCGTCACCTTCCATGAAAGACAAGGCCAAGCAAAGTAGCTCTCAGTGGGCACTTTGATGCCTTCAAAAATGTAGGCTGTCAGGTTTTATGTTTTTAAAACTTCTTCCATTTTCGTCAAATGCTCTTTATCAATTTCAATAAAGACAGGGAAGTCAACCTTTTTTACATTCAGAAAGTTGGTGTCATCAAATAACTGGGTTCAACAACAAAAATATTTGCTGATAATCAAGAAATATGTAATGATTCAAACCAAATAGAACATCCTGGGATGAAAACATAACACAAACTGTTTTTGTTCTGTTTGTATTTACTTATTGTTCATGAATAGGTAGCACTGAACAAATCTTTTTTACACTATTTTTGTTCTTTTCAATATTATTATTTTTATTATTGCAAAATCAAAGCAGAATCCAATTGTTCATACAGCATTAAAATGGAATGCTGTATGAATGGAAAGGTAAATAAAATTAATGCTTTGGTCATCTTCAGACAAATAATATTTCCTGTTTTAAAAAGGAATGAAAGGTAGACAACATCAATTTGAAGAAATCCCCTTGTTGCTTTTCCATTTCTGTTTGAAACTAAATAATTTTTAAGCTATTATGTTTTTGTCCTATTACACTTCTGCTTCCAGAAATGGACAGTGACTTTGTCCCTAAAAATTTACTAGGTTACACTCAAACTTTCAGAGAACATTTTACAAAGTTCCACACCAAAGATTAAGGTCTTTGTATGGAGATTGAGGTCCTGGAAAAGAAAGAAGCAGAATGAACATAAATGTAACATAAAATGGATTTAACATCCATGAAAGGGCATGAAATAGAGAGTAGAGGAGAGAGAAAAAACAATCAACTTGAGAAAAAAGTAACAAAGGAATCCTCTGGGTCATCAAGAGCACCCTTATATCCCGTACAGAAGCATATGATAGATGGGTAAATGGTTAGATGGACAGATAGATACATAGAGTGAAGCATAAAGATGCTAAAATATTATAAATTTTTATGGGGAATAGTTACATCTTAAACACTATCCCAGATTTTCTTTGCATGGCTATTTGTCTTTCTCTTTCTCTTAAGCACCAGTTGTTCCCAAAAAATGGTTATATCAACACACAATTATCTGGGCTCTTGTCCCATAAAATAGTAATTGGGGAAAGGAATACAACTTGGATCCATATACATACTGAATTTATTTATTATGCATTAAGCCTCTCTTTGTGTCTTAAGGTATTTATCTGAATAACTACCAATTTGATGCTTTCCTAGTCTTCAAAAACACTCAATTTCTTTTGGTGACTTTTTGGGGTATGTTTTTCTTTTCTTGTACCAATGATTAATTGTGCCTGGTTTTCTGTTGTCTGTTAATTGTTTTATACAAGAGGATGATAATATAAGCAATAAGGTTTTATTAATGCCCTAATCAAATATATTGAAGCATATATGTGTTAAATACAAGAGCATTAAACAGGTGATTTTTCTTAAAAGAGCACTAGGTTTTAAGCATTGATCACTTGTTTATTAATCTATTCTCTGCAAAATGATAAGCATTTTTTTAAATTGTTGGTAATAAGAAAAGGCTGATTTGTTAAAATAGAGATGTCAGCTCCCTGCAGACAGCACAATGGATAAAAAGAGGCCCTTGTCTACTTCTACACAGCTTTTGTTTAATTCTGTAGCAATACTTTAAAAGAGTCACTCTCAAACATGCCTCAGACAGGACTTTTCTTATCCTGAACATTTTCAAGGATGTTATGAGAAGATGAAAATCAAACACAAGTGGCAATTTCAGTGAAAACCCTTAACCTCCGTGGCAAAATGCCTCTTTTAAGAGGTTTTTTTTAAAAAAAAAAAATCAAGGATAAGATGTGTATATGAATAATTTCAGGGGGAAGCTACTTCTGTATGAATTGGGAGTTCTGTGAACTGGAAGACCTCCCGTGATGACTGAAGTCAGTGGATAATATTGAAATCTAACAATTTCACTGGGGTTTCAATATGATCAGTTCGAGCCTCTCTCCACAAAATCTGACATAGAAATAACACTTTGCACTTCACTGACATTTTTTCGTCAGGATATCTGAGAGCACTATTGAAGTGCTGAATAATTACATTTAAAATTATCCCATGTATTGGGTAGGTCTGCTGAAAACAGCAGCATACCAAATGTTGCCATCAGGTGCTTGCTGAGATTTAGGTTGGGAAACTAAAGTGTCTCCACTGAAAAGAAAGAGATGATGATGAGAGAAATCAGAACAATAACTTAATATGGCCCTACATGGGTAATTCACAGCTCCTTTCTTTCTGCAAAATGCTTCCTACTGGGGGGGGATGACGAAAAAGGGGATGACGAAAAGCTCTATTAATCTTTTTTTTTAAATCTAAATACTTTCTGCATCTAAATACTTCTGCATCTGGTCACAATATTCAGGTCCTGGGCATTTTTCCTCCCTCTATTTGTAAATATATTCCTTAAAAATAAAAAGAACCTTCCTTTCATTTCATTCCTTTCATAGTAGGGAGCCCTACACAAAAAGAAAACATCTCATGTACCTAGAGCAGTGATGGCGAATCTTCGAGTGCCCAAAAACTGGCCCTGCCCCCACTCCACCCCCACCCCGCCTGCCCGCAGGGCCACTCACCACCTCCAGGGCCCGCCGCAGATCGCCCAGGCAGCCCAGCAGTGCCATGGCAGCCACGCCCTCTGCCCGCGCCCTGCAGCATCAACTGTGTGTGATGGGGCATGAGGGCAGAGTCTTGTCTACACTGCCTGGCTGCCATGTCCTTGGCTGTGCTGCTCCACGTGGGCCACGCTCGGGGGCAACTCTCCTCCAGGGGGGCTGCTGGTGAGGAAGGGGTCATGGAGGGAGGCAAAGCTGGGCCAATGGCACGTGTACCCACAGAGAGGGCTCCAAGTGCCGCCTCGGGCACCCATGCCATAGGTTCGCCACCACTGACCTAGAGTGACAACTACTTTTGTACTTCCACAAATGTTTTTCTCTATCTAAGAAAACAATCATTAAAAAAAGAGTTGATCATAACAGGTTTCACATTAAAGACATACAATGTCTTCTAACACTTTGACTGTACACTTTTACTTTGGTTTTACTATACAATTACTATGGTTGATTTTCAGGGAATAGTCATGTTAGTTAATTCTATCTGCAACATTAAAGAATCTTATAGTACTGTAAAGACTAACACATTTTTACTGTTATTACTACTATTATTACTATTATTATTAATAATAATCTTGCTGTTATCTTGTCTTTTGTCATCAAGATGTTTCTTTACTTTTGAATATACATATACCTAAAAATGTAAGATTTTAAATACAATGAAAGTTTCTACAGACAAAAACATGGCTGAGCCATGGGTTCACCTGTGTCCCCCATAGTGGCCAATCTCTACATGGAAGAGGCAGAAACCAAAATCCTCAACTCCTTCACAGGAATTTCACCCACTCACTGGTATAGGACAATAGGGAGTGAGGGAGTGATATGGTGTTGAAGAACAGGTCTCTAGCCAACTAAAGCCTACATCATAATAAATATAGTGCTTTTAAGAAGCCACAGTTCTTCATTGTTTTCTGTATTAGACCACAAATCTGGTAATGACCTTCTTCACAAAGCTTTGGAATGTGACACTTGGAGGAGTGCAAAAATTCATCATGCTAACAGTCAATATCTTTTCCCACACATATATTAGCCCATCCTTTTAAAACGTATAATATTGTACAATTTTGTATTCTGTGCTATTTGGGCACCTTCCTGGATCCAAAAGACATACTCATGGTGACTCATGCCCTGGTCACCTGCCAGTTAGACTACTGCAAGACAATTGACATGCAGCTGCCCTTGAAGAGTATCTGGAAATTTCGGCTGGTGGAAAATGCAGCAGTGCTAGCACCTACATGTGTTCCTGGTATAACACGTTACACCTCTGCTACATTGGTTACAGTTTGTTTATGGGTCTAATTTAAAGGTGCTAGTGTTGATCTTTAAAGCCTTTTGTGGCATGGGTTATTTGAGGAACCTTCTCTCTCTGATATCAGATCCTACCATATCCTACCAGATACAGCAGAGAGGGCATGTTATGGGTACTGTCACCTATGAAGCTACATTTGGTGGGCCTTTTTTTTTGCTGTAGCACCTACATTGTCCTTAGGCAGGTATGAAATTATTGCTATTACTGAAACTTGGTGGGAGGAAACCCATGACTGGAAT